GGACGTGGACCAGGCCAAGTTGAATTCAGGGTGTGGACAGGCAAATGAAGGTCCGGGGTTGTGGATGGGCCAGTGGTCCTCGGGGGTGTGGATGGGCCAAATGGTCTCCCGGGGACGTGGACCAGGCCAGAGTGGTCTCCCGGGGGTGTGGACCAGGCCAGAATGGTTCTCCCGGGGGTGTGGACCAGACAGTGGCCACTCCAGGGGGTGTGGACCAGGCCAAGTGGACCTCCCGGGGGTGTGGACCAGGCCAGTGGTCACTCCCGGGGGTGTGGACCAGGCCAGAGTGGTCCTCCCGGTGTGGACCAGGCCAAATGGTCCTCCCGTGGGACGTGGACCAGGCCAAGTGGTCACTCTCCCGGGGAGTGTGGACCAGGCAAATGGTCTCGGGGGACGTGGACCAGGCCAGGTTCCTGCTCCCGGGGGTGTGGACCAGGCCAAGTGGTCCTCCCGGGGGGTGTGGACAGGCAGAGTGGTCCTCCCGGGGGGTGTGGACCAGGCAAGTGGTCCTCCCGGGGGTTGTAGACCAGGCCAAGTGGGCCTCCCGGGGGTGTGGACCAGGCAAATGGTCTCCCGAGACGTGGACATGCTCAGAGGTGTGGTTGGGCCAAGTGTGGCCACTCCGGGGGTGTGGACCAGGCCAAGTGGACCTCCCGGGGGCCAGGCCAAATGTGGACCTCCCGGGGGGTAATGGACCAGGCAAGTGGTCTCCCAGAGTGTGGACCAGGCCAAGTGGTCTCCAGGGGGTGTGGACCAGGCCAAGTGGCCCTCCGGGGAAGTGTGGACGCCAGAGCCAAATCTGGGTCACTCCAGGGAGTGTGGACTGAGCCAGCAGCTAAGTCCTCCAGGGGAGTGGCAAGACACAGGTAAGTGAGATGCACTCCCGAGGTGTCAGATAGGCCAAATGGTACTCCCGGGGACGTGGACCAGGCCAAATGGTCTCCCGTGGGATGTGGACCAGGCCAAATGGTCACTCCAGGGGGTGTGGACCAGGCCAAGTGGCCCTCCTGGGGGGGAGGTGTGGACCAGGCCAAGTGGTCTCCCAGGGGCGTGTGGACCAGGCCAAATGTGGATGCACTCTCCCGGGGGGTGTGGACCCAGGCAAGTGGCCCCTCCCGGGGGGTGTGGACCTGAGCCAGGCACCCTCCAGAGTGTGGACCAGGCCAAGTGGTCTCACTCCCGTGGGGTGTGGTCAGGCAAATGGTCTCCCGGGGGTGTGGACCAGGCCAGAGTGGTCCTCCCGGGGTGTGGACCAGGGCAGTGAGATGCTCCAGAAGGGGGTGTGGACAGGCAGAGTGGTCACTCCCGGGGGAGTGTGGACCAGGCCAAGTGGATGCTCCCGGTGTAGGTGTGGACCAGGTAAGTGGTCTCCTGGGGGCGTGGACCAGGGCCAGTGGTCCTCCCGGGGGGTGTGGACCAGGCCAAGTGGTCTCCCAGGGGTGTGGACAGGCCAGTGGTCTCGGGGGTGTGGACCAGGCCAATGGTCCTCCAGGGGGTGTGGACCAGGTGAGGGTCCTCCCAGGGGAGGGCGTGGACCAGGCCAAATGGTCCTCCCGGGGGGTGTGGACCAGGCCAGGTGGTCCTCCCCGGGGAGCGTGGACCAGGCCAGGTGGTCCTCCGGGGTGTGGACCAGGCAATGGTCACTCCCAGGGGGGTGTGGATCCAGGCCAGGTGTGGTCACTCCCGGGGGTGTGGACCAGGCCAGGTGGTCCTCGGGGAGTGTGGACCAGGCCAAATGGTCCTCCCGGGGACGTGGACCAGGCCAAAGTGGGTCTCCAGGGAGTGTGGACCAGGCCAAATGGTCCTCCGGGGGACGTGGACCAGCCAAGTGGTCTCCCGGGGGTGTGGACCAGGCCAAATGGTCCTCCCGGGGACGTGGACCAGGCCAGTGGTCCTCCCGGTGTGGACCAGGCCAAATGGTCTCGGGGGTGTGGACCAGGCAAGTGGTCTCCCGGGGGTGTGGACCAGGCCAAGTGGTCCTCCCGAAATTGTGGACCAGGCAAATGGTCTCCAGGGGACGTGGACCAGGCCAGTGGTCCTCCCGGGGGTATGGACAGGCCAAGTGTGGTTCTCCCAGGGGGGTGTGGACCAGGCCAAGTGGCCCTCCCGGGGGTGTGGACCAGGCCAAGTGGACCTCCCAGCAGGGGGGGTGTGGACCAGGCAAGTGGTCCTCCCGGGGTGTGGACAGGCCAGTGGTCTCCAGGGGGGTGTGGACGGAGGCCGTGGGTCCTCCCCGGGGACAATCTGTGGGACCCAGGCAAGTGGTCCTCCCGGGGGTGTGGACCAGGCCAAATGGTGCCTCCAGTGTGGACACAGCAAGTGTGAGTCACTCCAGGGGGGGTGTGGACCAGGCCCAAGTGGCCTCCACAGTGTGGACCAGGCCAAGTGGTCCTCCCCGGTGTGGACCAGGCCAAATGGTCTGCCGGGGGGGTGTGGACTGAGCCCAGGGTCTCCAGGGCATGGATGAGCCAAATGAGTCTCCCAGGGGTGTGGTGTGGTGGGTCCTCCCGGGGGTGTGGACCCAGGCCCAAATGTGGTCTCCCGGGGGTGTGGACCAGGCCAGAGTGGTCCTCCCAGGTGTGGACCAGGCCAAGTGGTCCTCGGTGGGTGTGGACCGGGCCAAGTGTGTGTGGACCTGGAGCGTGGACCAGGGCAGTCGGGTCCTCCCGGGGGTGTGGGCCAGTCCTCAGGGTGTGGATGGGCCAAATGGTCTCAGGGGGTGTAGACCCAGGCAAGGGTCACTCCCGGGCATGGACAGGTAAATGGTCTCAGAGTTGTGGACCGGGCCAGAGTCTTGAGAATGGACCGGGCCAGGTGGTCTGTGCTCCAGGGGGTGTGGATGGGCCAGGCCAAGTTCTCCAGGGGTGTGGACAGGGGTGTCACAGAGTGTGGACCAGGGCCAGAGTGGTCTCCCGGGGGTGTGTGCAGACCAGATATGGGTCTCCGGGGACGTGGACCCAGGGCAGGTGAAGGTCCTCCAGGTGTGGGGACCAGGCCGATAAACCTCCCTGGGGGGACTGGACCAGGCCAAGTGGTCCTCCACGGGGGTGTGGACCCTGGGCAGATGGTCTCGGGGTGTGGACCAGGCCAGGTGTGGTCCTCCCAGGTGTGTGGACAGGGGCAGAATGGTGCTCCAGGTGTGGACCAGGCCAGGTGGTCCTCAGGTGGCTGGACCAGGCCAGGTGGTCCTCCAGGGGGTGGGGCAGACCTGTCGTCCTCAGGGGACGTGGGGCCCAGGCAAGTGGTCTCCCAGGGGCAGCAAGACCAGAGCCAAGTGGACTACTCCAGGGGGTGCAAGACCAGAGCCAAGTGGCCCTCTCAGGGGTGTGGACCCAGGCAAGTGTGGGCCTCAGGGGTATGGATGTTCAAGTGGTCTCCAGAGGTATGGACCAGGCCAGAGTGGTCACTCCCGGGGGGGTGTGGACCAGGCAAATGGTCCTCCCGGGGACGTGGACCAGGCCAAGTGGTCCTCCCGGGGTGTGGACCAGGCCAAATGGTCCTCCCGGGGACGTGGACCAGGCAAGTGGTCCTCCCGGGGGTGTGGACCAGGCCAGAGTGGTCTCCCGGGGGTGTGGACCAGGCAAGTGGTCCTCCCGGGGCTGTGTGGACCGGGCAAATGGTCTCAGGGGGTGTGGACCCAGGCAAGTGGTCACTCAGGGGGTGTGGGCCCAGGCCAAGTGGTCCTCCAGGGGGGGTGTGGACCAGGCCAAATGGTCCTCCCGGGGACGTGGACAGGCAAGTGGTCACTCCCGGGGGGTGTGGACCAGGCCAGTGGTTCTCCCCGGGGGTGTGGACCAGGCCAAGTGGGTCTCCCGGGGGGTGTGGACCAGGCCAGAGTGGACCTCCCCGGGGTGTGGACCAGGCCAAATGGTCTCCCGGGGGGTGTGTGGACCAGGGCCAGGTGGTCCTCCAGGGGGTGTGGACCAGGCCAAGTGTGTGGTCACTCCCGGGGGTGTGGACCAGGCCAAGTGGCCCTCCCCAGGGGGTGTGGACCAGGCCAAATGGTCCTCCCGGGGGCTGGGAGGCCGTGGTGCCTCCTGGACCAGGCCAGAGTGGCCTCCCGGGGGTGTGGACCAGGCCAGGTGAGGTCTCCGGGGGGTGTGGACCAGGCCGTGGTTCTCCCGGGGGAGTGTGGACCTGTGAGCCAGTGGATGCACTCCCGGGGGAGTGTGGACCAGGCCAAATGGTCCTCCCGGGGACGTGGACCAGGCCAGAGTGGTCACTCCCGGGGAGTGTGGACACAGGCCAGTGGTCCTCCCGGGGGGGTGTGGACCAGGCCAAATGTGGTCCTCCCGGGGACGTGGACCAGGCCAGAGTGTGGTCCTCCGTGGGGTGTGGACCAGGCCAGTGGTCTCCCGGGGGTGTGGACCAGGCCAGTGGCCCTCCCCGGGGTGTGTACCAGGCAAGTGGTCTCCCGTGGGGTGTGGACCCAGGCCGTCAGATGCCTCCCAGGTGTGGACCAGGCCAAGTGGTCCTCCCGGTGTGGACCAGGCCAGGTAGTCTCCCAGGGGGTGTGGACCAGGCCAGAGTGGTCACTCCCGGGGGGTGTGGACCAGGCCAGTGGTCCTCCGGTGGGGTGTGGACCAGGCCAGAGTGGTCTCCCGGGGGCGTGGACCCAGGCCAGTGGTCACTCGGGGTGTGGACCAGGGCCAAGTGGTCCTCCCGGGGTGTGGACCAGGCCAGAGTGTGGTCCTCCCGGGGGGAATGGACCAGGCCAAATGGTCTCCCGGGGGGTGTGGCCAGGGCAGAGTGGTCTCCCGGGGGCGTGGACCAGGCCAAATGGTCTCCCAGGGGGTGTGGACCAGGCAGTGGTCCTCGGGGGCGTGGACCAGGCCAGAGTGGTCCTCCCGGGGAGGTGTGGACCAGGCAAATGTGTTCCTTCCCGGGGTGTGGACCAGGCAAGTGGTCTCCCGGGGTGTGGACCAGGCAAGTGGTCCTCCCCGGTGGGTGTGGGGCCAGGCCCAAATGGTCTCCCGGGGACGTGGACCAGGCCAGAGTGG